ACAACCACGAAAAGAAACTGCAAGACCCACAAACAACACGAACAAAATAAGCAGCAAGGAACAACTGCTCGCGCAATACCCCGAATGTTTTGACGGAGTAGGTAAATTTCAAGGAGAATATCACATCACGCTGGACCCAAATGTACCCCCTGTCATTCACTCACCGAGACGCGTGCCAATAAGCCTCAAAGATGACATTAAACGGGAACTAGATGAGATGGYCGCCCAAGGTATCATCACCAAAGTACGAGAAGGGGAGCCGACGGCATGGGTCAATAGTTTAGTATACAGAAGGAAACCCACTGGCAGACTTAGAATATGTCTTGACCCTAAAGATTTAAATGCTGCCATACAACGAGACCATCACGTAACACCCACCCTTGAGGAAATCTTGCCCAAGCTGAGCGGATCAAAATATTTCTCCATTCTAGACGCAAAGTGTGGATATTGGAATGTTGTACTCGACACACCATCAAGTTACCTGACTACCTTCAATTCCCCATTTGGCCGATACAGGTTTAAACGAATGCCATTTGGACTGAGAATGTCGCAAGACGTTTTCCAAGCCAAGATTGACCAGACATTTGAGGGTTGCGATGGTGTTATTGGCATCGTGGATGACATCGTGGTTTACGGAAAAACGGAGGAAGAACATGACATCCATTTAAAGGCGATGGTTGAGAAATGCAAAGAAACAGGCCTAAAACTCAACCCAGACAAGTGCCATATCAAACAGAACAAAATAAAGTTCTACGGCATCATCTGCAGTGAAAACGGTATCCAGCCCGATCCCGCCAAAACATCAGTGCTGAGGCAGATGAAAGAACCGGTTGATCGCCGCGAACTACAAACGTTCCTTGGGCTAGCCACCTACATGTCCCCATTCATCGCAAACCTAAGTATCCTGACCGCACCCCTGAGAGGATTRTTGAAGGAAGACACACCCTTCCAATGGAATGCCGACTACCAGGCCGCCTTCGAGAAGATCAAGAACTCGATAAGTGAAGAAATCACCCTCACCTATTTTGACGAAACAAAAGATGTAACGCTCCAGGTAGACGCCTCAACAAAAGGCCTTGGTGCAGCCCTCATGCAAGAGGGCAAGCCCATAGCATTCGCCAGCAAAGCGCTAACCGACGTCGAAACACGCTATGC